CACACAACCTCCGCCTCCTGGGTTCAAGAGATTTTCCTGCCTCCGCCTTCTGAGTAGCTGGGACTACAGATGCGCGCCACCATGCGTGGCTAATTTTTGTATTTTTAGTAGAGATGGGGTTTCACTATGTTGGCCAGGCTGGTCTCGAACTCCTGACCTTGTGATCCGCCCACCTCGGCCTCCCAAAGTGCTGGGATTACAGGCTTGAGACACGACGCCCAGCCGAAAAATTGGTATTATTAAGTGGAAAAATATATTATCATCAAGTCTTGTCATTTTATCACTTCTGTAGTCACACAAAGCTAATAAGAAGACAACAATTTGATTGAAAGCAAATAGTTAAAAATTAGTTTATGATGTAATGTCACTGTGTTGCAGCTTTTATTAAGCAGTTTGCATTGCATGGTTTACATAGAAATTCAAAACACGTCACAGAGACCGTTTGGGAGGTTAGCTATTTTTAAAAGAACACTGATACTGTAAATGTTATTTTCCTGTTGGAAAACGAAATCGAGTGGTAACAGAGGAGTCATCCTTATCATATCTGCACAATTTCCCATTCCTATAATTATAGGTCTCACCAGTTCACTCCTACCCAAGCATGGACACTCATTTAAACTAAGGGCTACCAACTGAATTTGACTAACGAATGTAGCAATAACCACCTACTGAAATTAATCTAAAATGTAAGAAATCACAGGAACTTTGAAAGTTGACACCACTCCTCTGTAAAATACCTGTTTAAGTCTCTATAAAGCTCTAACATTACCCTGTGTGTATAAAAGTTATCAATTTGTTTAGTAATGCCTGGCAATGGAAATGGTTATTTTTCACTAATTTACTCCTAGACAACTCACTTAGGGCCACAGATAAAGTTTAAATTTTATGGGAAAAAATGCCAATGACAAGTAAAGCAAGTATAACTGGCTGAAATGACTGAGTTTTTAAAAGTCAGAAAAAAACAGAATTGCTAAAATATGCATGTAAAATTATGTGACTACAGATGCATATCTGTGTTTCTTCTTTCTGCACTATGGAAGTCATTTCAATACACTTCCTTGATTTCTTGCCCCAGCTACCAGGAAATTCAGGGCTAATGTTAGTATTCAAATGCTAAATCCTTAAGTCTGATTGGTTTGCAATCTCTTTCTAACATTTCTTATTTTAATTTCCCATGTTTTAAAACTGTAATCATTAAAAATTCCTTTTGGAAGAAGGAGGGATGGGCATTTAAAATATATTTCAATGAATAATACAGTCCCCTACTATGAAAGCCCTTAATCAGTAAAAATTTATTGAATGTCTGTTACATACTATGGACTCTGTTAGGGCTGAGGATACTTTGTGAAACAAAACAGTCAGGGTCCCTGGTCTCATACATGACAGGAAGGTTGGGGGAGAAAAGCCATATGATGGCGGAGGTGATAATGAACAGGTAAATAAATATATACATAATTATAAAGTGTGATGAGCAGGTAAGTACCCTGGAGGAAACAAGCAAGAGAATGGACTCCCTGTGCCTTGGGTGGTCAGGAAAGGCCTCTTAAAGAAGGTGATGTTTAAATTTAACCTGATGAAGAAGGACCTGCCATAAAAAGGGGAAGTAAAAGAACTTTCCAGGCCAACTGAACAGCAAGTACAAAATCCCTGAGATAGGAAAGACCTCGATGAGTTCTAGATACTTTTAAAAAAGCAAAACAATGGAGAATGGTGGGCAAGGAAGGAAGCGGAGCAAGGTGAGGCTGGACAGTTGGGCTGGGGACAGACTGTGAAGAGACTTGTAGGTTATGGCAAAATGGTAGGTGAGCCACTGAATGGTTCGGGGTGGGGTAGGGTGGGGTAGAGCTGGGAGCTAGCATGGGACAGGAACATTTTACATTTTGAAAAGTCCACTATAGCTGCAGACTAGAGAATCAGCTGGAACAGGGAAAAAGCAAGTGAGTGATCCTTGCAGGGCTCCCAGGGACAGAGAGGTGGACAGTTCTGAAGGCAAACTGACAGGAGCTGCTGATGGGGTGGGTGCAGGGGATTCAAGGAGTCAGGATGATGCTCAGGTTTCTTGACTAGGCAACAAGGTGGTAGGTGGTACATTTAGTCTATCCCTAGGAAATGAATTATTACCCCACACTCAGCTTTTTCAGTTATTGATCATTTTCTAGTAATCTAAGGACACCAAGGATTAGAGATGAGAAGAAATTCATACAAGGCTACAAATGATTTATCCTAGAAACATGGAAATTATGTCTTCCATGGGCACTGACAGGAAACTTTCTCTCTTTGTTTTTCTCTTTCTCAAGCACTTGGAAAGCAAAACTCCCTAGACACAAGGGAAGATGTTTAATATCATTAACCACCAGGGAAATGCAGACAAAAACCCCAATGGGACACCACTCACACCCACTAGGATGGCTACAATAAAAGAGATAACAGCAAGTGTTGGCAAAGATGTAGAGGCACTGGAACTCTCATATACTGCTGGTGGAAATGTAGAATTATGTGGCCACTCTGGGAAACAGTCTGGCAGTTCCTCAAAAGACTAAACACATAGTTGTTATGTGGCCCAACTATTCCACTTCTAAGTATATACTCAGGAGAACTGAAAATATATGTTCAAACAAAAACTTTTACACAAATGTTCATGGCAGCATTATTCATAATTGTCCAAAAGTGGAAACAACTCAAATGCTCATATCACATACATGTCTATCTATCTATCTATCTATCTATCTATCTATCTATCTATCTATCCTTATTTGGCTTTATATATCAACCCAAATGTTTATGTTAAATCAACTGATGAAATGAACAAAGAAAATATTCCATAATGGAATATTATTTGACAATAAAACAGAATGAAATACCAATTCACACTATGACATGTCATACTGATCCATGTCAGTATGATAAGCAAAATAAGATAAGCAAAAGAAGAACACATTATGCTAAGTAAAATAATATTTTATGCTAAGTGAAAGAAGCAAGTCACAAAAGAACACATACTGTATAATTCCATTTATGTGAAATATCCAAGATAGGCAAATCTATAGAGATAGAAAGTAGCATGGTGGCACGTGCCTGCAGTACCAGCTACGTGGGAGGCTGAGACATGAGAATTGCTTGAACCTGGGAGGCAGAGGCTGTAGTGAGCTGAGATTGCACCACTGCACTCCACCCTGGGCAACAGAGTGAGACTGTCTCAAAAAAGAATAAAAGAAAGTAAATTAGTGGTTACCTGGGACTGGCCGAGGGGAGAATAGGAAGTGACTGCTAAGGGCACAGGGTTTCTTTTATAGTATTGAAAATGTCCTAAAATTAGATAGGGGTGATGATTGTCACCTTTCATTTACAGTCTGTGAGAAGGCAAGATGTTAAGAGAGTTCCAAGGTCAAATATCTAGGCAACGTCAAGTTAAACACGTCTCTTTTTCTGCAGGACTTCTCAGAGCCTTTAATCTGTATTATGTGCATAATGTGTATAATAAATCACCAAGTCAGGAGAGGCAGAAGTAGGATATAAGATGGCATCATTTCTCAAACATATATGGCACAGAATCTCTTCTAATGGAGCAGCATCACACAGCACTAGGTTTTGCAGACCCCACTGTGGGAAACAATGTGCTTAGCAGCTTTTCCATTCATTCATCAAGCACTACCTGACCACCTACAACACTCATTGGCAAGACAATCACTTTTGGGCTATAGAGATGAGGCCAGTCCTTCCCTGACCTCACAGAAGGCAGGTCTAGAAAGGAATGAATGGGCTCCAGTAAGTGAAGGCACAGGGGGAGCACAATGCAATGCTACAAATAAAATACTATGGGGTCCCATGGAGAAATTCATCCTGACTCTAGACTGAGGAACACTTCATGGAAGACCCAGCACTTCAGCCAGGCCTTCAGCTGTGGGGGGTCTGGCCACATGGAGATGGGAGGAAGGGATCTGGCCCAGGAGCCCAGGTCCAAGGGGGTGAAAGAGAAGACAGGGGCTTGTAGTAGAACAATAAATGTTCCCTTAGCTGGAGCACACTGTGAAGGAAGCAGAAGACAAATAGCTGGAAAGGATTGCGGCTTCAAATGTCAGACCAAAAGTGTTTAAGCTTCCCTCCTATAATAAATGGGGACCATCCAAGCTTTCTGAGCATGGGGTAAAAGTGGTCCTAAACAAGTCACTCTTTGAGCCTGAGGTGTTTCATCTGTAAAATGGAGCTAATTCTACCAGCCCCATTTTATCTGACCTCGGTGAGTGAGGATCACAGAACTTGGCCACAAGGCAGTGGAGCCCTGAGCAAAGTTTATTACTCAGCAGCAGAACAGCTGTTTCCAGTTCCTTTGGAAGAATGTGTGTCTCAGAAACACCTGACACGTGATATTTCATCTCTGTGGCAGAGCCAGATGGGAAATCCAAAAAATGAACGCTTGGAAACAGAACATATCTGAAAGTTCTCCTGTAGCAGACAAATCAGATCTGTATTTGATTTCATTTTATTTTCTTTAGAATGACATAGGGACTGCAAGGAAGGAACAGCCACTGGAAATGAAGACGCGGAAAGAATATAAACAGCAGATTGCCTGACTTTCATGTCAAGTGCGAAGACAAGAGGTGTGTGTGTGTGTGTGTGTGTGTGTGTGTGAGACAGAGAGATCAAAAGAGTGTATGTGTGAGTGTGTGCTCCAGAGAGTGTATATGCATGTGTGTACGAGTATGTATGAGTGTATTTCTGTGTGTATGTCTGTGTATGAGTATGTTTGTAAATGTTGTAAATGTGTATGAGAGTTGCAGTAAGTATGTCTGTGTGTGTGTAGGTACATGTTCGGGGTAGGGTACAGGGAAAAGCAATCCAGCAAAATTGCTGACTTATTTACACTGCTCCCATCATACGGTGTAAGAACAAAGCAAGCCGGAGACAGCGATCCCAAGGTGCGGCCAGGACCGGCACAAGCTCCTCCCCCTGAGACTCCAAACCTTTATAGATAGAAATCTCTGCAAACCCAGGAGCCTTACCGGGCCGAGCTGTCCCGGGAGCGCCGAAGCCATCTTGCCACCATTTGTTCTATTCTATGTGCTTTCCGTGTCTGGAATAAACTGGTCTCCAGCTCTTCCATTTACCTAAAAGGAAGAAGAGTGTTCTTAAGGTGCTAACCAAAATATATAAAGAGGATTTTGATAAA